TATAGAAAGTGATATATGCTGTAGGACAAAAACGGTAGGGGTGTGAGAAAGTGCTGGGGCCGTGCACAGGAGGGAGGGCAGGGCTGCGTTGTCAGGAGAGGTGCGGTGGGGGCACGGCCTGAGGAAGTGAGGCAGCGGCCCCTGGCTCTGGGGAGGCAGCTTTCCAGCAGAAGCACCGGTGGTCGGTGGTCGGTGGTCGGTGGTCAGCAACGCGGGCTCTGGGAGCAGTGAGGGGGAGCCACTGCGTGGTCGGAAAGGAAGGGGCAGGCGTGGAGCAGAGGTCCCGCGGGGCCCTGCGGCCACCCTCGCGGCGGGCTTTTGCCTTGAAGGAAATGGCCGTTTCAGAGTATTGAGAAGAAGAATCACTTGGTATAACGTACATTTTAAAAGGAGCGCTCTGGCTTCTGTGTTGAGAATAGACTCCTCAGAGGAGGGGAGTGGTGGCAGGTGGAGGTGTTAAGAAGTAGAGAGACTCTGATACTGGGCACTTCAAAAAGCTCGTGGGGGGACTCATATTATCTTCTAATTCTGTTTTTCCATGAACCTTCTGAAGTATCCACATATATTCTGAAGATAGAGCCAATAGGATCCNATCGTGGTTTCATTACTTTCTCATTCATTGAATTCTGGAGTGCCCACTGTACGCGAGACACTGTTCTAGGAGTATGGAATACATTATCGAGCAAAACAAAGATCCATGACCTTATGGGGCTTACATTCTAATAGGAGAAGTGTTAAAGAAGAAAGTTATTCATTGATACTTGTTAAAGCACACTAAGGAAGACTTTATTCAGGACCATTGCGATGGGTACGGGGAACAGTGTCATGGAGTCTCGCAGTGGGGGAGAGAGATGGGGTTCAACTCTGAAAATAGCACGGACCAATGGAGATTTATAGGCATGGAGCAGGGTGGGAGTCAGTGGGTGGAAAATTACTAAGAGGAAACATCAGGGAGAATGCATCAGGGGGATTCTGGCTAAACCAACCTAACAGGGTTCTTGCTGAAAATAGGCCAGGGTGATCAGACGTCACGTGGAGGGTGGCAGAGGATGAGGGACCTGATCGGATATTGAGGGTGATCAGGTATCGAGGATGGGGAGGGATTCTTGCTAAATCAACTTAGTGGGGTTCTTGGTAAAACTGGATTTTACAAGGCAGTGCTCAGAAGGACCTAGGAGAAGGTTCAGGAGTCTGACTAAAGCTTGGTCAGGCAAAGAATCTTTGGCAGAAGACAGATGATAAATAGTAGATATAGCAGATATAACAGATAGCGTATTAGATATAGAAAGTGATATATGCTGTAGGACAAAAACGGTAGGGGTGTGAGAAAGTGCTGGGGCC